GCGTCACCGGCGGCAGCAGCAACACCATAAGTGGCAGCAGCAGCAACAGCAACAACAGACACAGCGTGCCGAAGCACACTTAACGCATGCAATCAGTTAAAAGCAACCCAACAAGAGGAAAAGCAGAAGCAGCGGCAGCAGCAGTGGCAGCAACAAGAGCAGCAGGAGCAACAAAACCAAGTACAGCAGCAGCAGCAACAGCAGCAGCAGCAGCAGCAAGCGCTGACCTGTGTGCCTTCTGCTACTGCTTCGAGCCCAACAGCCACCTCAAGCTGCGGCTGTGAGAGGAAAGGAATCAGCAGCTGCAGCAGCAGCTGCTGCTGCTGAGACCCGCCAGGCTGCAGCAGCAGCTGCTGCTGCTGCATCTGACACGGCAGGCTCCCATTCGCCGGAGGGCGGTACACACTGCAGCAGCAGCAGCAGCAGCAGCAAACACCCAATAAACAATAATCCCAATCTGACCTCTGATAGCTCCTGCTGCAGCAGCGGCTGCAGCATCAGCTGCAGCAGCTGGCGATACTACTACTGCACCAGCAGCAACTGCTGCAGTACTGCTGCAGTAACTTCTGCTGCTGGACTGATGCAATTTTTAATTGCACAAAGGCCCCTTAAAAGGGCCTTAAGCGTAAGGCAGGACAACTTCCGAGGGTTTAGGGTTTGGGGTTTAGGGTTTAGGTACCTTCGAACTCGCAGGGTTTCCTTGCTGCAGTTGGTGTACTGCAGCACCAGCCTACAGCTGCCGCCTTGCTGCTGCCTCTTTGCTGCCAGCCGCAGCAGCGGCGTCTGCAGCAGCAGCGAGTTCTTCAAGATGCATGCCCTCTTCCGTGTTGCTGCTGCTGCTGCTGTTGCTGCTGCTGCTGCGGAGTGCGATGGAGAGGCAGATCCTGCTGCTGTTGCTGCAGCAAAGAAGGAGGCTAGGCGCGATCCTTCTGCTGCCGTGTCGCTGCTGCTGCTTCTGCTGCTGCTCCTGCTGCTGCTGCTGTCTCTGCTGCTGTTGCGGCTGGAATCGTTGCTGCTGGTTCTGCTGCTGCTGCCGCTGTTGGCGCTTCTGCTGCTGCTGCTGCCGGTGCTGTGGCTCCTGCTGCTGCTGTTGTTGCTGCTGCCGTCAGAGGGGGAGGGAGATATGCTGCTGCCGTTTCTCTCACTGGGGCCTGCTGCTGCTGCTGCTGCTGCTGCTCTCGACTCATCCAGCGCAGCAGCAACTGCAGCCACTGCTTCCACTGTAACCCTTGGAGCAGCAGCAGCAGCAGCACGCGAGCGGCCCTGCTGCTGCTGCTGCTGCTTCGGTGTTGCTGTTGCTTCCAAACAAAAAGCAAGAAACTCCAGGTCCCCTTGCTCCAGCAGTCTGCGCACACCCACAAACCCTAAACCCTAAAACCTAAACCCTACTGCCTAAACCCTAAACCCCAAACCCTAAACCCTAGGCCCTGGTCTTCAGGCAGTAGAGCTGTACCGGCCAGCAGCAAACAGTTTGACAAACAAAACTGCGGATACTTGAACGCTGCCATGCTTCAGGGATTAGGGTTTAGGGTTTAGGGTTTAGGGTTTAGGGTTTAGGGTTTAGGGTTTACGCTCTGAACTCCCTTGCTCTTGTCTGCACTTCTATGTCGGGGTGCCGCGCGAGCAGCGCAGCAGCAGCAGCAGCAGCTCGCGTTTCCTGAGGGTTTGCTGCTGCGATTTTGCAGAGGCTGAGCAGCAGCATGCCGCAGGCTTCGGCCTTCGCCGCTGCTGCTGCTGCAGCCCTGCTGCTGCTGCTGCTGCTGCTGCTCTCCTGCATGCACCACGGCTGCCCATATACTTCAACTGGCTGCAGCCTGCTGCTGCACAAAAGCCGCACATGCGACAGCAGCAGCTGCGAGGCCCCCGGGGGGCCCCCGGGGGCCCCCCGCAGCCACACTGCAAAGGTCCCCAGTATGTAGCAGCAAAGCCTGCAGCAGCAGCAGCAGCAGCAGCGGCAGCAGCAGCGGATGGAGCAGGGGCGGCAGGGCTTTACGCGCTGCTCCAGAGAAGATGATGTAGTTCTCGAGTGGTGAGGGTTTGGGGTTAATCCGCGGGGTCAGGGTTCCGAAACTAGGGTTTAGGGTTTAGGGTTTAGCGCAAGCAATTCGCACCTTAAAAGAGAGGCCTCTATGCCAGGGTTTCTTAAGGCCTCTATTGCAGCGCGAACTGCCGTTTGCTGCAGCCCACAGACACCCTAAACCCTAAACCCTAAACCCTAAACCCTAGACCCTAAAACCCTAAGCCGCAGCTGAGGCCCACAGCCATGGCCCTAGCCCCCAACTCGAATAGTAGACCCCTAGCCCGAGAGCCTGAACCCTGAACTGCCCGCCCCTGCGCCAAAACCCTAAACCCTAAACCCTAAACCCTAAACCCTAATCCCTCGCACCTGCAGCTCAGGGCTGGAAGCAGCAGCAAGCCGCGTCGAGGCTCTGCACCAAATGAATTCGGGGGTTTCGCGTGGGGCTGCTGAGAGAAGCTCGAAGGCCTTCTCCAAATATCTGCACAAACCCTAAACCCTAAACCCTAAACCCTAAACCATAAACCCTTGACGCTAAAAGACCAATTAGACCCTCAGCCCGTGCGCGAAGCAAAATAAGCCGCTGCAATGCAGCGCACGGGTAGACGGCCGCCGGAGCAGCCGAGGGTTTAGGGTTTAGGGTTTAGGGTTTACTGCTCGGGGTTTGCGTTGGCATCGGTTATTCTTGCTGCTGCAGCAGCAACTGCTGCTTTTGCTGCAGCAGACAAACTTGGAATTTTCGAAAGAAGAAAAGAAACTGCTGCTGGCCAGTCCCCTGCTGCTGCGAGCTTCTCCACAATCCCTAAACCCTAATCACCAACCGTAAACCCTAAACCCCAAACCCTAAACCCTAAACGCTATACAGCAAATAGTGCGTTTGGTCAAGTCGGCCAGCCGGGGCTCTGCCACATGCTGCGCAGCAGCTGCCCCTTAACCCCAGACCCTGAACCCTAAACCCTAAACCCTGAACCTTAAACCCTAAACCGTAAACCCTAAACCCTAAACCCTTGCTCACCGCTAGCTGCACTGCAGCGTCTGCATCTCCTGTGGCCAGCGCGAGAGCAGCAGGCAGCAAAAATTCAAAGCGGCTGATGTCTTGCTGCTGCTGCAGCCGAGACAACACTGCTTCAGCTGCTGCGTGCTTCACATCCCCGCGCTGCAGCAGCAACAGCAGCAACAGCAGCAGCAGCAGCGCAGCAGCAGCAGCAGCAGCAGCAGCGCAGCAGTAGCAGCAGCGGCAACGCTAGCAGCAGGAATAGGTGACGGCGAGGCAGGACAAAGTGGAGGCAGCCCCAGCGGCGGCCGACTTGGTGTTCATATCCTAAACCTTAAACCCTAAACCCTAAACCCTAAACCCTAAACCCTAGGACGGACCTGGTCTGCAATGAGAGTGGCCAGGACGTCGACGGCTCTGGCGGTGACGTCAGCAGCAGCAGCAGCACCTAAAGCAAGAGCAGCATTTGCTGCTTCCACCAGCAGCGCAGCATGAAGGGGGGTGATCTCCCAGATCTGCTGCTGCTGCTGCTGCTGCTGCTGCTCCGCTGCTGCTGCTGCTGCTGCTACTTTCGAG